CAACTTTATGAGTGTATTAACATATAAACAATTTAGATAACTTCTGTATAAGACAAATCATGTCCAAAAAGTAAATTTTAGTCAAATGATATGAGTTAGTCAAATTGATCTCATTATTATATAAGTTTATGTATATACAAAATGTAGCTCTATGTTTTGTTAATCACTTTTGAATAACTGTTCATTATATTGTTGATATATCATAACCTTATGCATATTATATGCCTTGGTTTTGAATAAAATCTTGAATCTATCATTAAGACGATGGTCGCCCTTCTATGAAATATCAGTTTGTAAAATCAGTCGGTCTGAAGTCGAAATATTGAGACTTGCACATGTACATCTGTTTTCCAGATCTACAAAATCTTTTCCATGTGCATGTGCTATTTTAGTATAATCCAATCACTACAATAACAGCATAAATTCATCAAAAAATATTAACTACTACTAGTATACTTCAAATTTCTGTGTCAATAAGGAATGTCGATTTTAAGAGTGTTGTAAATTATTTGCGTGGATTTGTTACAAGAAACAGACGTGTTAAATCTTGCATGTGATCATAATTTACATATTCCACAAGAGTAAAGTTTAATTTCTAGACAAAGATACTCTCAAAATAATATTTTTACGAGCATTGTATACCTCCTCGTAGTTTTAACTACAACTTTAACTGTTATCATATAACTTAAGTAACGTCATTATGATATCAAATTTCGCGTAAAAAACACCATTAAGTGCATTTTTTCGTGCAATACCGTTTTTCTTTCTTTGGGCATGGGTAAATTTAGTGCACATCTGCAAAAAGGCCATTCAGTATACCGGCGTGATACATGGCGATCCTCTTTCTGTGTCAAAAAGGCCATTGAGAGTACACAATAATGCAGTTCCAGTTTTTATGTGTCAAATTTTGTGTGTCAAAAAGGTAAAAAGGTCATTTAGAGTACACAATAATGCAGTTCGTGTTTTTTCTGTGTTTCAAAAAAGGCCATTTAAAGAACGCCAACATCATTATGACAAAGGAGTACACAATAATGCAGTTCGTGTTTTTCTGTGTTTCAAAAAAGCCCATTTAAAGAACGCAAACATCATTATGACAAAGGAGGCCATTTAGAGCACACGGGTATGCTATAATAATTTTCTAGCTGCGTGTTAAAAGCAGCTATTTGATGCACATTTACATGGTTTCTTTCTGTGACAAAAAGGCCATAAAAGTACACCGGCATACTGGTATACTAATTTTCACATCGTGTCAAAAGCGACCATTGAAAGCACAATGACATGCTTTACCGATTTTTACTTTCTGTGTCAAAATTAAAAGACCATTTTGAGCACGATAGCATGCTACATCAATTATCTCTCAAGGTCAAAAAAAAGTCGATTTGAGCCGTGTCACGACAAAACCAACAAAGTGCGTTTGCGATTAGCATGGATCCGGACCAGCCTTGGCATCCGCGCAGTCTGATCAGGATCAATGCTGTTTGCTATCAGTTTCTCTACTCGTTATAGGGTTTGTAAGCGAACAGCATGGATCCTGATCAGACTGCGCGGTTGTGCAGGCTGGTCTGGATCCATGCTGGTCGTAAACCCATTTAAGTTGGTTTTGTCATGACACGGTTCATTTAGTGTTAATCGGTATATTATACTGGTTTTCTTTCTGAATCAGAAGAGGGCATTTTGGGCACAGTGGCATGTAACTGATGCTGTACTCATTTTTCTTTTCTTGCTGGTAATATCTCTAATCTTCTGTTCTGTTCTGCTATGTAATTTCATGTAATAAATATAGATACATTTACTAAGTGAACATTTTGTTTTTGTGAGAAAATTTTAGTAACAAAAATTTGTGATTTTTTATTGATTTCAAGGAATCTTTATAACATAATTTCGGATAATAATTTGACATTCCCACCCTGGTGTAATCATCTTTTTAAATTCAAACAATTAATTAGGAAATAACCAAACAATTAAAACAAATGTAAAATTTAATGAAAATTTTATTTCCACATTGTATCTAATTTTTCAGTCACATTTAGTGTTATCTCCCTTCCTTCTCAAAATAACACTTCTAAAACATGAAGAATATATACTTGTACTATATGTATGTACAAATATATTTCTTATTCAATGTATCAGTAAAGGAATGTAACTCATTTAAAATAAACAATTCAACAGTTGAACAACAACAACAAAGATGATATACATGTACAATTTAAGGTTTAAGCTTAATTTAACAAATTGAATATGTATGTAAAGTCTAATTGCATAGATTTCAAATAACAAAAGTATAATAGTCATAATATAACACCAAACAGTGTAAGTATTAGTTACGATTGACCTATTCACCACTAACCAGCATGTGTTGTTGTGTTGGTATTCAATCCGAATCACGGCATTAAGCCACGTTGAATTAACAGAGCACAGTTCAGCCACCTCATCGTTCCTGGGCAGGCTGTCAAGCAGTTTACCAGTACTAGCTGCCTTCACCAGCACGTCACACAGGCTCCTACATTTAAATAGTCTCTCACCCAAAGAAGTCCCCAATCCCCTTAACCTGTGTAATTTGTGTAATGGATTTGCCAAGCTTTGAGTTTGGAACAGTCCATTCAAAGTTTCAGGGATTTCAATATTGAAATACAAAAACTATATAGACTATACTTGGTCGGTGAAAAAATACATTTATTTATTGGCTAACAGGTAGTCATTTAAGGGATAAATAATACATATATCCCTGGTTTATTGAACATTTTATTGTGTCAATTATTTAAGTAACAAACCAATAAATGTGAAAATAAATGAAGATTCAATATAAAAGGTCAAATGACATCAAGGGGAACAATCTAATTAAACTGCATCAATTTAAAATAAAGAGTTTTAAACAATTGCCTAATAATTTGAGGTGGACTTTCAGCAGAGGTTTGCAGTATCCTGCAATAACACAACATATAATCATGACCAAATGTAAATTCAATATATCTAGCACTATAAAATGTACATTATACATGTGAATAGGACCATAATGTACTTATTTTATACGATACAGTATGTTTGTTAAAACGATTTTAATTGGTCAATTTTTAAATTTCTATAATGCTGTAAATTCAAGAGTGGTTTATATCTTAATAAAGTGTGTAATTCTTCAAAATCAAAGGAAAAATTTTTACAGTTATTACAAATTTATCATGATGACCATTGATAGATTATATGCCCCTGTATAAATGGTCAGCTAAGGTTATATAAACTTTCATCCATTTATACTGGGTCATATAACCATTCAATATCTTTATGACTAACAATAATTTGTATAGCATGACTATAGAGCTAATTGTATTATAACCTTCACAACAAGCAATGACATGTTATACAAAAGAAAATGTACAGGAAAGTTAAAATCAATTCAATAATGACCTTTGACCTATATACAGTATACATGTACATGTTATATGACCTATATATAGAGTATTCCTCTCAGTAAAAATATAAATCCAAACAAAATCTTGAGATTCTTTGACAAATTGCAAACTATTTATTTTATGCCCCTGTATAAATAGTCAGCTAATGTTATATAACCTTTCATTCATTAATGCTGGGTAATATAACAATTTAAGATCTTTATGAGGATATGAAACATGCAGATATAAACATTTATATGGAAATACAATTTCTCTCATAAAAGCAATAACAAGGATAAATTACCAACAACATATGGTGTTTAAACGAACATATACATATCACATCTAGTACGGATTTCTGTAAAAGAAATAAAACAATTTCTAATTTGTAGCACAACTCTTGCATAGTAAATTATTTATTGAGCTTATGCAGAAATAGCCCCAAAAAAACCTTGTAAATAAATTGTAAATTGCACAAAACAACAATTATACACTCTCGAGAACATATACAAACTTATGTCAAGGCTAATTTGTGACCCCTGACCTTTAAGTAAAGACCTTGACTTTTTAATATCTACAATGTCATTTAAAATTTTTACCAATGAGTTGGCTATACAAAAATGGCTGGACTCATAAATGAAAACACCACAATGTATGGAGAAATGGTTTTACAAACACTTGGTGTATAAATAAGTAATCAGTCATGTAAATACATGTACACAACCAATGAATACATAAATTAATATGCTGCTGTAGAAACAACTGATGTACATCCCTAACAAATTAATAGACATACAAATTAATTAATGCATACCCAATGGAATGCAATCATATAACCATTTATATATTCATAAAGAAACTAATAAAGAAAATAAATGAATAAATAACTATCTGTTTAAACTAACAAGTGCATAAAGAAATAAAAGGTCACACTTCAAAATTAATTGCACATTAAAATAAGATGCACAATAATAGGGAATGCACAATTAAACATTGTACGTATTGCTGGCTCATACAGAACTTGCAAACAAAGCAACACTTACTTACAATTTTAAACAAAATACAATGTAAAATAACATTTTCATACAAAATAAACATCAGATAAATTTCACAACCATGTTGTTTTTCAAATTCAGATTCAAGTATTATTTTTTTCAAATCATTAGTTTTCATTATGTGGTACAATATCATTAAAAAATAAACTCTGTTAAAGAACTTTCTCAAACAGCTGGCAGAAGAATTTGCTATTCGTGAATCATATACTAGAAGTCCAAACACTGCAAAATCCATCACAGCTGAGTATAAGTACAAGACCTTCGTTCATATGCATTGACCCTTTTATTATAAAATCTACCACATATTTAAAGTGTATATGCATATATATTGAACTAGATCTACATTAATTGTTTTCAACAAAGTCATATCAGATTATAATTGTATATTTAATACTGGTATTCTTTTCTTCTTATTTATTTCAAATGAATTTTAAGTCACACAATTACAGTAAGTGCCATATGACAATTTTCCCGCTTTTTTTGATCAGGAAAAGAGCAGACGACCTGTAGTGTATTTCAGACACAGGCCGGCACATGAGTAGATACAATGACCTTAATTCAATAAATTATCTAATAAGCTTCCACATGTGAAAAAAAAATCCTTGTTGGGTTTTGAACCCATGATGTGGATTTTCATTTCTATAGGGTCATCATTGTTTATAAAATACAAGTACTATATGCTGATGAGTATATGCAGGTGTACAATAAAATTAACAAATCAGCACGAAACATTCATTACTAAAACAAGAACAACTTATAACAGAGTAATGATGACTATAATTTATACAAACAAAGAAAGGACACTTGGTGTAACACTAACAAATTTGTAGAATATCACAGATTGCGTGAATTGCCATGGTTACCATACTGTACACTTCTTCTCAGGATTCATTGGAGAGTTCTTAGGGCAGTCAAATGCATCAGCAAAATATTTGGAATTCGACATGGCTCCTAAAACCCTGAAAGATATTAAAACAACAAATATCAAATAAAGTTGCGGCATGGCCGAGTGGTTAACATGTCTAGTAATCTAATGATTGTTAGTTGAATGGGTTCAAACCCTGTCAGGGGCAAGTCAAAGAAACTTTACACTCAGTGCTCAGTATTCGTTGGTTTAAGCACGGATTTATATTGTAATATAAATCCGTGGTTTAAGGAACAGATTCGAAAGTGTGTCTATAAGCTTAAAGCTTCCTACACAATCAAACTAAAATAAATTTCTATATAAACCAACAAATATCACTTCAGTATGGTCACTTCAAATATTGTGTTGTATAAAGCCTTAGCATGCTTTCAGCAACTGATTTTTCACTTGTAACAAGTGCAGACCAAGATAAGTTGGGACATCTATACTGTCTGATCATGGTCTGCATTGTTTGCTTTTCATTCAGAATATATTTTGAAAGTAATTTTAATAGACTTGTCAATTCATCAAATTTTGGGGGAATTTCAGAATAAATACTGACTGAATAGGAAATATTTTCCAGGTCTACCATTGGATGAGGACTTCAGAAGGCCCGTTTTAGATTATTTCAGTCATATAAGTAGATACATGTATAATTTTCCAGAATGTTTCATCTTTTCTAAGCTAGCTTGACAGCCCTACTTAATTTTTAAAGTTCAACAGAGTACATTGAAGAAGAAATAAAGGAAACAAAAGTAAATGAAGAAATGTATCATAATTGTGTTTTACCTGAATTTAGCTATAGAATGTTCATCTACAAGGATGGATTTCTGCATGTATTCTGGTGTGTAGTGTGAACACCATATCTATAATAATACAACAAAATAAGAAATTATTATCATAATAATTATCATAATTATTGTTAGTTTGTTTGATCTGATGGGGCAACAGCCTTGTACATATGATATGGCACCAAAACAGGAATGACGATTTTGGCTAATGTTGGGTGTTACAAATTTCAATGCAACATCAGGGGTCAAAACCACCTCACTTGCAGGAATAGACTGCAGTGATTCGAACACATTAAGTTGCCTCTCACAATCATACAGGGATAAACAGAGACTGCAATTTTAAGCCTCAGCCACAAGAGGCTTATCATTTTTGTAATAATTATCACTATTCTTCTTCTTATAATTACATGTATTATAATTATATATTCATAAAAATTATTGTTATTACCGTCACTATTTCAATTATTATTCTGATAAATATTCTTATCATCATCATCATCATCACCATCATCATTACCATCATCATCATTACAACTTTAATTACAAAATTAAAGTTTGTCATCATTAATGATGAATATCATCATCATTTTCATAACCATCATCATCATCACTGCCATCATCATCATCATCAGTATTTTTTTTATTCAATAATCAAATTATAAGGTACAAGAAATTAATACCTGAGCCATTCCTATGAAGAACAGCTGGTCAGAGTTGTACTGCATGCCAGGTAAATTTAGAGAGTCAATTCCACCTGACTTCTCTAACCATGACCTGTAGGCTAGATATGCCATCTTCATACCTCCATTATCAGCTATGTTCTCTCCTAGAGTTGTCTCACCATTTAACTACAAATATAGTCAAATATTAGCCCCTTAACACTTAAAAACATCTATCCTTCAAACAACATCAAAACATCAATAAAGTGTTTTCCTTGACCCAGGAATCATAGTTTGCGATCTATTTGGATCACAGTCATATTTCCTTATGTGGCATCAGTATTTTAATGTTCAAGGAGCCAAACTTTTATATGGACTCACAAATTTTTTATTTTTTAAAGCTTTTCATCACCCAATCTTTTCCCTCACTAAAATCTTCAATAGACTTGTCCATCTTTCAACCTGGACAAAACCATTTATCGTTTTAGGGGGTTTACCACAGTGCAGACCTTGATCAAGGACAGTACGGAATGTTTCGGCTTTATCTTTGTCTGCATTTGTTGCATCTTTATATAGAGTTGCCCCAAACAGGCCAAAGGTTAATAAAATATGTTTAAAGCTGCATGGTGTCTCGAGATGAAGCCAAAATATTTCAAGCTAAACAAAACTTTAGAAAAAGAGTACTTTGATTCTTAAAGAAAAAGTAAAACACCCCAGTTAAACAAAGCCATCGGTGTGATTGATCGGTTTAGTTTTTTTTAGCCAAATTATGGAGTGAGACCTTGATGACAACGTATTTAACACCGATATCACCTATTGCGTCACCTGTTTTCCACCTATGGAACTGCTTATTGGGGGGAAAGATAAGTTTCATTGGTGAAAAATTACCGATTGGGATTTTTAAACATGTTTAAAAAATTCTCGATCGGCGTGAAAATATTTTACAAATAACCGACAGCAAACCATATCAAAGAAGATATGGCAAGCTTCTTAATCACCGATATCGCCAATCGGACAAAGATAAAGCCAAATATGAATCACCGGTCATATCTGACGGAAAGTGTTTAACCACTGATGACTAGCTATCAAACACCGAATTAATCAGCGTTTTACGCCCAATTAAGCTCTGATTTACAAACGATAAAAAAGCCGATAGTTATTTCAGCATTTTTATCAACGATCCAACCGCCCGTTTGAGTTTGCTTTCTGTCACTGATGGCCGTTTAACAGAAAACCAGAAATAAAATCACGCATGACAACCGATCATAACAGCGAGTAAATTTTAAAATTAAATGACCAATTTGAGGACCGACCATCTGTGTAACTGGCCCCTAAAAATGGTGTAAGATTCAAGCAATTTACTTACATTTTATTGTGTGATTAATGGACTTATTTTTATGGTATTTTTTAAACCCTTTT